AGGGTAGGCCATAAAAATCTCATCCAGCATGTCGGGGATCTTGGTGCACAAGGAGAAAGGCAACTCGACCAAGCGTAGGGCATCATCGCCGTCGATTGGGTGTGTTGATTCTTCTTTCTCTCCCTCTGAGGCTTCCTCTCCGTTCGCGTTTGTCTTCGCGGCGGCATCTGCGTCGTCTTCGGTCTTAGTTGATCCATTGATGCCATTTGCACCTGCTGCGTCCCCATTGGTGGATTTGTCCTTGGTGCTGGCCTTCTCCGCCTCTACGCTCTTAGTCGGCTCCTGCGTCTCGATGAGGATATCAAGGTTGCTGCGTGCAAAAGCAAGAATAGTAGCTTCAAGCGTACTATTAGTGACGGCACACTGCTTGATCGCAATGATTGCCCTTGCTCGTGTGCTTCTTTCGCTCGTCCTAGTCAACTGCAGCAACTTATACGCCGACTGATTTCGCAGCGCAGGTCTCGAAATGCATATATCCTGCAAGGTCGACATACCAGCGACCATCTTGATCTTGTCCTTGCTCAGCCCAGCCACCAAGTCGAGCACTGCGGGTGGAATCTCCGGGAGATCAGCCAAAAACTTGGCGAGCGAACGATCCTTAGCATCTATGCCTGGGATCCAGGCCTGAACGAGCTTCTCCAGCCATATCGGGTACTGATCCTTGGTGGCAGCGCCGGAAGACGCGGCTTTTCTGCGTCGCACGCGATCACAGAACCACTCTTCCGCCATCCACGTGACAGCGAAACGTGTTCTGCGCGCAAAGTCGGCTTTGACGAGCTCGAGCATGAGGGAGCGGATGATGTCGGCTTGTGCTGAAAGTGTTCGCGTTGGTTCGACGCCGCCGACAGCCTTGGTTTCAGGCTCGGTGGAGGCGGATGCAGGATCGGCGATGGGCTCGGCGAATCCTCGAGTTGCAAGACGAATGACCAAGGAAGACCAGAGAGCTTGCGTTCCCATTTCCGGCTGCGTTGTGGTGGCCAATGCTGAAGATGCAGCAGATCCGAAACCGCATATCCTTGCAATGGTGTCTTTGATCAGCGAGTCGGATTCGCTCAATGAAAGGTATTCTGGCGGTGCAAGAGCAAAATTCTCGATAACAGCCAATGAGAGCTCTTGCTCTTCTTGCTCTTCTGCTTCTTGCCCAGCTGATCCGGCTCTGGCATCCCGCTCTCGACCTTTAGCTTCCAATGCTTCAAGATCCTCCTCGGCAATGTCCATGGCCAGTGGATCTTGGACAACGTCCTCTGCGGTATCTTGCGCATCCTCCGCCTTGACAGCTTGCGGTGTGCCATCGCCATTGGCCTGTGCTTGGTGCGCCATCGGAGGAGGTCCGGGTGGCGGGCCGGGCGCGGGACCAGGAGGAGGCGGCGGTGGTGGTGGTGGTTGCGTCGGGGGTGCGCTGCCTGTTGATGGTTCTGGCTGTGCTGACGTGGATGCATCTGGAGGCAGATTCGCTCGCATGTTGGTGATGGCTGAATGCAAGTCGCTTTCTGATAAAGCTTGCAGATTGGCAACGATAAGGTCGATCACGAGGTTGATGGGCAGCGTCTTGACGTCGAATGCGGCTAATGGATTGCGTTCGACGCCGCCTGTTGTTCGAACAGATGCATCGCGAAAAGCCTCGGCCGAAGCATGGTCGCCTTGCTGATTGGCTGATCCGTCGGAGGTACCAGCTTGCTGATGCTCGAGCTTGATCTTCTTGGGCGCTTCGAGCTCTTCGTCGATCCTCTCACGTTTGCGTTTGGCTTCGGCTTCCTTCTCTGCTTGGTATTTCTTGGCAGCTTCTTCCATGCGACGTTGCTGCGTCTCGAGTGCCTTTTGTAATGAGCTTGACTCTGGACCGGCGAGCTGGTTGCGAACAAAGTGTAGGTAGAAGACTCGAACGGTCTTTTCCACGTTTCGTATTTGTGTGTGGGTGAGGTTCGAGAGACTGGCGGGTGTCCAGGTAGCCATTGCTCGAAGAATGACCGAGCCGAGTTGCGGCCGTGCTTTAGCCAGTACAGCGAGCGAATTGATAGAAGCCATGATGAGATCGGTGACATCGCTGGTGAAGATGAGTGTAACGATCTGTGCGAAAAGGCGGTTACCTTCTTCTTCGAGGCTGGCAGCATTGAGGAAAGGATGCGAAGAAGGTATCTGGTTGAGGCCGACATCGTTCTTGAGCTGAGCACGAGGGTCGGTCGAGCCGCGCGACTGAAGCTGCACAATACGCTGGTAGCATTTGATGACAGCAAGCTTGGTTCCCTGACTGCCGTGATCGAAGAGATGGACTACTTGCGCCTTGATGGTTTGGACTATTTGCCAGAGGCTCGACTTTGCACGATCATTGCATGCAAGACGGAAGAGGACAGGATACATACTTGCAAAGCATTGAGACGCGATCTTTGTCAGACGAGGATCTCTGTCCTTGATGAGCAAGAGTATCGCTTGCGGTGCATGAGTAGCTAAGTTGGCTTTTGTGTCTTGGGCGAGAGCAGGTCGGCAGAAAGCAAGGTCCATGACTTGGGCTATCCATGTTCGCAATGATGTGCTGGCTTTTGGCAGAAGCGAAATAAGTGATGGTAAGAGGATGGGGATGTTGCCTGGCTGTACCTTGAGAAGGTTGTACAGCTCCGAGAGATGCTGAGCTTCTTCGTTCTTGTCGGACGAGTTGAGCGCGGCGCTCAGCAGGCCTAGCGCATCTGTGTTGGCGGGAGCCGCCATTTCGACTGCCGATGGACCGAGTAATTCGTATCGGATTGTATCGGAATGAGCGAAAGGCCTGAAAACGAACGATGAGTCGATGACGAGCTATGTGAAGCTGTAGTGGTGAGATCCAGCAGCGTGCCGGCTGTGACTGATTAGCAGAAGCGGCGTGTGAATGGCATTTGGGTCGGATGCCGGCGACCAGAGGGCGTCTACGAGAAGGAGCGATGATTCAGCGCAGTCGAATGTGCCAGAGCATAGAGCGAGACAACGAGGGAGCGTGATCGAGGCGGTGTTCAGAAGATCCGGTTCGAGACGGCCAGCAACGCGGGCGAATAAAAAAAAAGAATGGACGGGACGAGCCGAATCTGCCTCTAGCGTTGGTAGATGCAGGTTTGGTTGGAGCTGTAGACAGCGCTACAGTCTGAACAGCTTGTGTATAGTGAGAGGGAGAGGGGATGATGGTGAGTCAATGCAGAAGAAAGACTTCGAGTGTCGATGGAATGAATCAGTCTGTTGAGCCCAAAGTGTGCTTGAATTTCGTCGCCAAGGCGGGCTTCGACTTTTCGGGTCTGTTCACACGGGTGGTCTGTGAACGAGAAGGCTCTGAGACTGTGATGTTAAGTCGAATCGGGAGTCGAATCGGGAGTCGAATCGGACAATCGGGATGCCAAGCGCACGAATGCACAAGGCACAAGGCAAGGGCGTGTCGCACTTTTGGCCACGACAGCTCAGCCCCTCACGCAGCCATTGGAATTCGCAGTCATCGCCTCCACCCATCCTCGCTCGTTTCTGGTATCGTCGCTTTCGTAGAGGTATCATCACCAACACATTCCATCTTCTCATCACAGCTGCTCATATACAATGGTAAGACTCAACGATGACAGCATCATCAGCGTTCGCTCTAGAATCTTGGGCGGCTCGGTCTGCAGAAAGGAGCAATCACTTACCAGTTTTCAACCTTTCTCGATGCCCGAACTGCTCTCATTCTCCTCTCTGATCGACACAGGCCGCACAACAATCACAGGGTATCCAGACCCTTCTCGAAGCTGAGAAGGAGGCCGCAAAGATCGTTCAGAAGGCACGAACATGTAAGTGCTATTCCCCTTACAGCCACGCGCCTAGGCTCTTACTATGCATCAACCTTCATCTTGCAGGCGCTTGGTCACAGTCAGAAGCGTTTCAGCAACGAGCTTGTAGCGGCACAAAGCATCGAGATCGACTGACCTTGGACTTTTGTCGCATTCCTTGCCTATTTTCATGACGTTTTGCCCACCACAGACCGAACTCAGAAGCTCAAGGACGCACGTAACGAGGCATCAAAAGAGATCGAGCAGCTCAAGTCCAAGAAGGAGAAGGAATTCAACGACTTCCAGAAGGAGGTAAGTTGCAATCCGATGATATACCCGCCAGATAATCTAAATGATCGCTCAGGGTCTGACCCTCTTCTTTCACCTCCACTCATTCTCTTCATCTGCATTCTGACCTTTACTAGCACGAGGGCTCAACCTCCAACTCGCAGAACACCGTAGACAAGGAGACTGAAGAGAAGCTCGAAGAACTCAACAAGGCGTTCGAGGCGAACCGCGAAGATGTCATCAAGAAACTTCTCGATCGAGTCGTCGATGTCAAGACCGAGCTTCACAGGAATTTGCAGCTCAAGCAGCAGCAGCAACAGCAGAAGGCTTGATTCTCGCTACATCGCAGCCTACATTGCAGCATAGCGGTATCTTATTCGCCTACTGCATTGAGGTTCGGATCCCTACAGACCTTGCGTGATCGTCTTTTAGATGGATAGTACACAGTCGGGTCTTTGCATGCATGTGTAGCACACACATGTAGATACATATATCCTTCGTCCGAACCTTTTTTCCGTGGTTACGTCGCTGTGGTTTTGCCTCAGGACCAAATCTCGTGGTGTGCTTGCTTGCTTGCTAGTGAGGATGAGCAGATCGTTGAGCTGCGGCTGGAGTACCTTGGTGAGCAAGATCCGTACTTGTCAGTGAGCCTAAAGTTGCAGCGCGATTCACCTACCCTTCGGAAGTGGCAAGGGTCCTCGACCCGTTGAGTAACCCCACCATACTGATTCTGACGCCTTACCACGCACCACATGCAAAAGCCGTGAGCAGCGAGCCCCGTGTACCGAACTGGGGTCGTCTGTCAGCGAAACCGACCCTTGGATCGCTGCGTCCAAGTCTCTAATCACAGAAGAATCCGGAACAATGGTGCTTGAATAAGATGTCTTGCCCTCGGTCAGACTGTGTGCCGTATATATATCTTCAACAATACCCTTGTTTCAAAAGCATACTACTCCATCCCGATTAGCTCAGTCGGTAGAGCGTCAGACTTTTAACGCAAAGTCTCCGAGCACCAGCTTGGATTAGTTTAATCTGAATGTCAGGGGTTCGAGCCCCCTATTGGGAGTCATTCTTTTTTGCATTTATCTTCTCAACATTGGCAAGGCATCATAAAGGCTTGATTTTGTTTCGTGAAGTTAATTTTCTCACCCATCCAGCCTAACTCATTGGAAGGAATTTTTTCGGTACTCTCGCAAAAACAAGCTGGACAATGGCTTGAGCATGTCGTTCATCATCGGCTTTGTTTTCAAGCAGGATCTTGTCTTCTGTAGCTGAACACTGTCCGAGCAACGAGAATTGAGAAAAGATGCTCTGAGAACGAACGAGCATTGACATGGAAATCGGTGCGGAGATGGTTGCGACATCGAATCTTGCTGTCCACATCACTGCAGCTTGATGGACGGGACCCCGGATGAAGTTGAGATACGTAATAGGAGCTCATTTGCACCAGTTGGTTTCATGGCGCAGTTGGTTAGCGCGTCTCCTTAACAATTCCGATGTCAGATCGTTGAGGCTTACGGAGGAGGTCGCCGGTTCGAACCCGGCTGAAATCATTTCTTTTTGCCCTCCAAACCTGCGTTCAGCTTTGGTTCTTCTGGCGCCCGTTTGCCAATTACAACCTTTGGATCACATCTGCATAGACGAGCTATTCAAGTCGGGTTTCCCAAGCGTTTTTGAACTTCTGGTATGATTATACAGGAGTGCTAATTGGTATGACGGCGAGCAATAGTCTCCTCCCTAACATGTTGTTCCATCTGTGGGTTCCAACAAGCCACCGCCTTGCGTTCTCCAAAGAAGTCCGCTCCCAATGTGGCCGTTCCCATCGCGCCCTCCGTGTCCCTGCTCTGTTCTTCCAGAACGCTATGGAAGTCGGATAGACTTGCTGCACTACTGCTGCTGGTACTTGAAGTCAAGCCAAGTTCGAGATCCAACAAATCACGCCACTCTTGTTCGCGAGTGAGGCTGTTGAATTCCTCCAAAGGCAAGTCGGGATCGTCATCGGAGGAGAGGGTGGGGCGGAAAACGCCATGTGAACGGAGAAACTCGTGTACTGCTTGACGATCATATGACACTATTGCTGTCGTTGCTGAGTCCGCGGAGACGTCCGAGGAAGCAGAGTTTAAGGCCCCGTCTTCGCCGCTTGATACCGTCTCTATTGCCGAAGCGGCTGCTAGCACCGAGCTTGACTCGACCGCTGGTTCTGCAGAGCAAGCAGTATTCGTCACTTCCGCAGCAGCGATATGCACTTCATTAGAGATTTCTGCTGACGTCGGCGTGGCCTCCGCAAACAACGTACGTTCAACAGGAGAAGCCACACCTTGCTGCCCTACCATCTTCGCCGCTGCCCCACTAGCCGCTGTACCCAGGATAGACCTCGCAGCAGCCCTGACCTTAGGCGGCATAAGGAAGACCGACCTTGCATGTCTCAGCTCTGTCCCGTACTCCCTGATCGATAAACCATCTGGTGGACGGAACTTTTTCGATTCTTTGCGAAGTATGGTCGAGATTGAGCCATGCTCTTTGAGCAACCGCAAGCCTGTTTTGGGTCCGATTCCTGGTATGGTGCGGTTGAAGTCAGTGCCGCAGAGGAGAGCGAAGTCGAGCATCAAGGCGCGAGCCGTTCGATCGTACGGTTCGGCGTTGCCAGAGGTCATGGCGGTGCTATCGCTCCCTGTATGAAGCTGTATGAGCTTTTCGACTTCAGGCTTGGGAAAGAGGCCTGTGCGGACACGTGTTCCGCAGACAACCTCAAGCTTTCCCCTCCCAGCTTCTCGAGTCAGCACTCCTGGACTGCGAACACCGCCCATCAGACCACGCAAGAGAGGGGCTTCATAGAGAAGAACATCGCTGTCTTCGCTCGCAACGAGATCGGCAAAGCCTGATCGGACGAGAGAGGCAGCGTAGGCTTCTGCTTCATGAATCCTTCCTCCGCCTGTGCGTGTGCCATCTCCTGTCCAGAACACAGGGACTGCCATGAGTGAAGATAGCGTGGCGCAGTCTTGATATATTGAAGCGGACGGAGGTGATGTTGCTCGATTATACGTCTTTGTTAGGGAATGGTGCATGGCGTTCAGCGAGGATAGAGGATGCAAGGGAGTGGCATCTGTTGTTCTGATCGCTGTGTCTAGTCCTTCTTGTATCGGTGGCAGCGGCTGGGGCGCCTCGCCAGACTTGAGCTGGGCAGCGATTGTGTGATAGATCTCTTTCTCAGCTTCAGCCAGCACCTTCTGCCCTTTTGACTGACTTGAGCCGCCACTACGCAAGTTTTCTTCGATTTGTAGCCAATTTGTGTGCATGCTGTAAGCCACCGACTGTGGTTTTGTGGGTGCTTCTGGGAGTGGTGGTGGTGTCAAAGCTATTGGCTGTGGTTGTGATGGCGGAGCCGTGGAGGTCGATGGTTGACTGAGCTTCTCGGACAGGTTTTGTTGTGATTGCTGTCGCCATTCATTGAGTAGGTCTCCGACTTGCCGCCTCTCGGATTCTTGCAGTGTCGACAAGGCGTCCAGATGTGCTTGAAGCTCTTGCAGACGGCCGCGTCGCTCGTGTTCTAGCTTGCTGCGAATCTTGTCGAGTTCGCGCTTGTGCCTTCTCTTGACCTGCTCTCGATCCTTCAGAGCTAGTCTCTTGTGAGGATGGTCAAAAACCATGATTGGCATGACGCCATGTTGGCGCAGTGACGAGATGAGGCGGTAAAAGCCGATGACGTGTCGGGAAGGAAGCGGGTCGTCGGCGAAGTGAAGCCGTTGTACGAGCAGCGTAGCATCGATGGCCAGCCGCAAGCCCTGAAGCGCCGGAAGCGCAAATGGCGGTGATATCGCATTCGGCACCAAGGTTCGAATGAGTGGGAAGATGCCCCGAATGCCATGCGAAACTGATGAGGCACGCATGATGAAACCTTTGCCTCAGTCGCCGCCGAAAGGAAGGAGCCGGTGCTAGCGTCTGGCATCTGATGCTAGACCAGCTAGCGAAAGTATCCTATCTTGAAAGAATGCCGGTCATAAGTAGTGAGTGTGGCAATCAGTGTTGGTAGTTTGTGGTTGTTGCTGAGCACATCTTAAAGTCAAGAAGGTCATGCTTTCAGGTTCCAACGTTGCTGAGTCGAAACGAGTTTGCCTGCAGATGCAGGTGTGGAGGCTTGGCCAAAAAGAAAGAAAAAGAAGAAAAAAAGAACCCTTGCTGACACGCGCTGTCTTACGCGTGACGTTAGGAAAAAAACAAAAAGAAAAAATTACTCCCAACGTGGGGCTCGAACCCACGACATTCAGATAAACTCCGAGACACGCTCGGAAACCCTTGTAATTAAGAGTCTGACGCTCTACCGACTGAGCTAGCCGGGACAGAGTTGTACTTGAAAGCGGGTGTTGTTAATATAATGTAATAAACCTTTCTTAAGCCTCTCCAGACCCGATTTTGTCGTTATTGGAGTGAAATCACATGACCTCTTTACTTCGCTCTAACATGTCCGCCAACCTCGCTCACCGTCGTCACTCATCTTCACCCACCAACTCTCATCAACGCTCATCATTACCCACCAACGCTGCTCATTATTCACGACAACACCCCTTTACACCTATCACGATAGCACGCAATCCTACGTGTCACCTCACCCCACACATACACACACTGACCATTGGTAGAGACATATATATCTAGCATTGCTTTGTACTTAATTGCCTTCTCCTAACGACAACGATTGCTATCCGCTTTGCCGCCCCTCGCTTGTGTATTCCTCAACAATTGGGACACATGCTTGCACTCATACGGCATTGCGCTGCTTAGAATACAGACGAATCAGCCTTGCATTCGTGCTAGACGCTTGCAAAACACGGAATGAGACCAAAAAAACGCGAAGAAAACTGGCGCCCGCGCCAGCAAAAGAGATGCCGCAACGCACCTGGCTTGCACAAAGATCATGAGCGAGAGATGGAAGCAAAACAAAAAGAGTGTGACGGAGCGGCGCAGCCAGCTGACGGGATGCGGAAGAGGTATAAAGTGAAACTGAACAATGATGAAGAAGAAAGATGCAGGAGAGTGAGGACAGCTGGTATTCCTGGAGCTGACAGCGAGCGCGAAGAAGCCAGATCACTTGCTTCAACTGCCGTGCTTTTCATTGGCAGAGCAGGTAGAGCGTAGTTGAGGCATAGGGCGAACTGCAGGGACTTGATGCTCGTACTCCCCCTGCACGTTTCCAGGCGGGTAGTACTCGCAAACAATGTACATGGCGGCCTTCTCATCTGTGCCGTAGCCTTGCATGAAGTCTTTGCGCTGGGCTACTGCACAGCCGACGAACTGTGTGTCTTTCCAAACAGCCTGGGTCCAGTGACCGGTGCTTTCGGTCATGTGAGGGTTCTGTGCCCAGTTGCGATCTTCGTCGAGGAAAGCCATGATGGCATTCTTCATGCCTTCCAATGGGTTGCTGTAGCAAGGATCGCCAAGACCCATGGCGATGTTCTCGCCCGAAGCACAGAAGTGATCCTGGGAGTGACCGTATGCCTTGAGATCAGCCCAACATGCGGCCATATTGGCTAGCTCGACATTCCACTGCAGTGGTCGGAGACCGTAGCGAGCACGTTCGTTATTATGCAGATCGAGCGCGATCTTGGAAACAGGGTCCAGAGCCTCTTTGGGGAAAGGCTGGCTGAAGCGATGGTCCTTTTCTTTGATTGTGTACTGCCGACCAGTGAAGGGGAAGCGACGGTTGCAGATCTCGGCTTTGGCAGGACGAGGGATGGGCTCACCAATCACGGCAAAGGCTGACAGAGCGACAGCTTGAGCTGGCGAACGCATCCATTCTACCTGAGCGTTAGAGAAAGGTGCGATGTTGCTGGACGGTTCAGTGTGACCGGCCATGACATAGTGGAAGACATTCGAGAAGCGGCTGTAGGACGAATGAGCCGAAGAAGAATGCGATCGAGCGGTAACAGTGTGATTGACGACGCGGCCATCCTTGTTCTGAACAGACTTGGTTGTTTCATGAGTACTGTCAGATGTGTGCTGGCCGTGGCTCGAGCGAATCTCAGTGTGTCTTTGAAGCGGTTGAGGTGGCTGAGATGTTTTTGAAGGCTG